GGGGTGGGGTCCTAATCCCGCTTCATGCACGAATTAAAGAAATATTCACGCGCCACGTACATTAAAGGGAAAACTTCAAATCTCTCTTCTTGCGTACAACGTTTCAGAGAAATCTTGAGGTTTTCACGAACAGAAGGAAAAGTCCAAGGTCCCGTATAATTCAGGAAATCACGCGTCACGCTGAATCATAAATTCACGAATCACACTCGCGTTTATATAAAATTCACGTTTCACAGGTGAATTTTGGCCTTAATCCCGCGTCACGAATAAACCCTTTATCACCTTCTTCAGAAAGCTTGTTTGGTTGACGGGCAATGTGTTAGCACTACATGACAACCAAAGAATAGGGACCTTTAAGCAAACCACGACAGTAACTGCAACAAGAACACGGCAAAACAGAACAATTAATATAGGTCGAATAAAGGCTAAGCGGAAGCCTTTAAAAACTTTGCACATTTTCTAGCCTCTTCTACAACACAACAATATGAAATCGCCAAGAATTGCAAGGTCTGAGATTGGAAACCCTGATAGCAACTTATCTAAATTCCTTCTTAGGACTCAGTGCTGCTGCATAATTATGCATAATTATGCATAATTATGTTATCTTGAAGCTGAGACCTTCAGCAGGGTTAGAGTTAGTTAACACATTAGCCCTTCGCAAAACTCTTAAGGAAAATATAAATTCACTTTTCAGTCAATGATTTACTTAGCCTTGCATTCCTGACTGCTCATGGTCCCTTATGAATGGGAAGGAGCCAGCTTTCTTTCCATAAATAAGTCAACTCCCACAGATCTAATCTGCTATGGAAAAAAAATTTCATCTGTCCTTCTGCTCCCTCTTGAATGCTCTTTTGGGATGTAGAAAACTAGCCTTTAGCAGACGCTAGGCATTCTGATATTGACACATCAGAGGTATTACTGTTCACTACGAATGACTCTCTGTTCCATGAGCTTGGGATTCTGGTCGTATTGTAGTGATTCCTGTGTTTCCAGAAGCTAGATGTGGAAGAGCAACGGTAGCAGCTTCTGTGTCATAGCCTAACTTCTTCATGTCGCGAGTCACAACACTAAATGTCACTTTCACACTCCCCTGTGATCTCACTCTGGTGACTTCTCTTCCTTCACCTTGCGCCACAACTTTAGGATCTACAAACTCGGGTCTTCTACCAAGGAACCAACTGTAATAAACAACAAGCATCAAATTGTCAAAATAACAAATTACTGCTATGGCAAAGAGGACTGTTCCATTTATTCCCACATACCATTTTACTAGAACAGAGGCATTTTGCTAGACTACAAACAGCCACTCCTTATTGGAAAAGTCCATGGCAGGAGTAAAAAAAAAATCAGTGGCATGCTCACCTCAATTTTTTTCACTGATTTTTTTTTTTGACTTGCATGACCAACTTCACCAGAAAAGAGGAAGTGCTCATAGTCTTTTGCCCACCATAATAATTCCCATTTTTCTCCAAAAATTTCATTTGCAGGAACGACCAACTTTAGAGCTTGAAATGGCACTGGTACTTTGCTTTGATTGAGCTAGAAGCTAGCTTTTTATGAAAAAAAAAAAAAAGGAAACTATCATAACGGTACATTTCAAAAACAAATTATATTAGTATGACAAGTTAAGACAAAAAGTTAAAAAAAAAGAGATTGTTAACTTTAATTGTCTTGGAGAGTGACACAAAAGAGCTCACCTTGTAAATTTTTGAAATTTTGATGATGACTCTGGAACAAACATTGGTAACTCTCTTGTATGACTGAAAACAAAGCAAACATCAGCAGTAAAGTACCTTTGGCTCAGAATACCCTCCATGGAAAAACAAACAAACAAAGACTAAAATAAGTATGATGCACGATCCTCGCAGTAGAGAGCACTATTTATGCAATAGCGAAAATCAGACCTGAAAAAAATCAGGCCTGTATGGGATTCGAACTACTGACCTCTACGATACTAGTGCAGCGCTCTACCAATTGAGCTAACAAGCCAACTGGGAGCAGGCCGTTAAGTTGATTCAAAATATATGAACTTCATATTTTCATTGTAACCAAAGACAAAATAAACAAAACCAAACAGAAGAAATGAATACATGGTGGGTAGTCACTCCAAGAAAAAGGTCCTTTTTGTATGCCTCACTCCCAGAATTCTGGGTGCAGAGCTAACATCAATTTCTTTCTTTTCACTTTGTTTTTTTTTACTCACATGACAGACTTTACCAAAAGGAGGGCCTGCTTACAGTCTAAAGTTAATGAGGTCAAATAATTTAAACATGAAATCCTGACAATTGGTCTTGATTTTGAGGTAACATCATTGCTGATCACACACACAAATCTCTTACCTTCCTGGTGAGATAGGAACATGGACAGCTCCATATCCTCGTACTACATCATGGCCAAAAGCATCCAAGCCATAGCAACTGATCACTAACTGAGGCCCTAAAACAATCGGGGTTCTACGAGTCAAGTTCATTTATGTTTCAAGCCCGGGGGGGTACTCGATATATTCCTGGGTGGGGAGGTGCGGCACGGCCCCTCATACCCTGACCCTGTTTAAGACAAATATCGCTGATTTTCCTACTCTGTTTAAGACAGAATTTCAATTTTTGATACCCTGTTTAAGACATTTAATGTGCCTGGTATCAATGCCAAAATCAACAGAATTCAATATTAATTAAAATTGGAGCTTGTAAAAATTTTGCTGTTTATCTTCCAAGAAAAGATATCCTATTTAAGACAAAAATTGATAAATTGATACCCTGATTAAGACAAAAAATGATAAATTCGATACCCTGTTTAAGACAAAAATCTCGAAAAACATACCCTGGCTGGCCACACGTCCCTATTAAGCCCTTATAAGGGAGTACCCCCCACCCCGGGTTTCAAGAGATATATATATAGATAAAAAAAATTTTAATTCTTACTACCTATTCATATTTAACAATTATTCACCCAAGGTGAGGTGAATATCATCGAATAATCCCCGAGACAAAGTTGAGGGGATTATTCGACAATATTCACCAAACCTGAGGCGAATAATTGTTTTAGTATAATTTCAGAGCTAAACAACAGAGAAATTTCTAAAATCATACTTTCTCAGATTGTTATATCCTTATCTTAGCAAAACCCAATATCTCTATCATTGTCATCAATAAAAAAAGAGTTAGTTACCCCTTAGCATATGAAAAAAATATTGTGGTGCAAACTTACCCAGGTTAAAAAATTGTACCTAGTGAAAAATTAAATTTACTTGAGAAAAAAAAATTACCTATAACATGTATGTATATATGTATGTTATGATTTTTTTACCCTCGTTCCTGCTTACGGAGTATGGCAAATGGATGAGTGATTTTGGAAAGATTTCCATATAACCCCAACATTAATTATGCATTCTAATTCATAAAGACTAAATACAAAGGTTTCTTTGCAATACTCTGTACATAATTAAAGTATGGGTTACATGGAAATCTTATTGTGAATTTTATCTCATTTATTTCCCATACATTTTACATGGCAGAAGTGCCTTTGCATGCTCGAAATCTCATCGAGTTCTACCATAATCCACAGACTGGCCCTTCTATATCTATTTTTTTTTTTTTACATCTGCTTAACTATAACTTAGGGCTTAATCCAGACTTAAGTTCTTTTATTACATTTACTGCATTAAATTTATCTCTGTCATCAAAATAAAATTGGTAGCGTATCAACTCACATCCATAGGGACTTGTACTTTTGAAGGTGATGTCCAGAGGAAAATTAAAAACAAAGACTTGTCGTCTATCCAAACTCTTTTTAGTAGTTTGGGAAATTCCTTCTTCCCAACCCTGCAAAAAAAAAAAAAAAAGAACACAAAAAGAATTTTTTCATCGAGTAAATTTATCAGTTAACCTTGAATTTCATGTAAAAATCAACAACTCGCGTGCATCATGGCAATGATCAATATCAGTGTGAACTGTCATGACTTCATAATAAAAGTCGATCGCTGAAAGCACCTCGGCATGATTTTCGAACTTCTCTGACAACAGGCGCACAGATCAAAATCTAGATACTTAAAGAAAGATTTATGGAACGAAAGATAATAAAAATAACGAAGGAAATACCTTAGAGTAAATTGATGAAAAGTTTTTAAACCGGAAAATGTTGATTACTTACGGACGTAACTACCCAGTCCTGGCCATAAACAAAGCTGTACTTGCAGTACAAATCGTCAAATTCAGGAAACTGAAAACAACAGCAACAAAAAATAAGATCAAGTTTTGAATCTAAGGGAAATAAATGTAGTCTTGCATTTATTTTCTTAATCTTACCCTTGCGGATTCTATCTGCCCAGAGACCATAACAAGAAATACCGAACTGTGAAGTCCTCCTCCCGCCATTTTATATTTTGCGCAGGTGGTTGTTGCTAGGCACTAGTCAGCGGCGATACAAACAAATATAGAATATCCGGGCTTTTATGAATGTTTTTTTCGCTTGTTTTAACCGAGAGAAGTGGTTGAAAATGGCCTGAAACTTCCGAATTTGGATTAACTTGGATGTTTTTATTATACAGTATCATTGTATTGGAACAATTTTATGTAGCTGTTGAAAAACATTGGTAATTCACCAAAGGTTTCTCCTCACAAACGGAGGATAACTTTACGTGGCAACAGTGTGGTTGCTATTGACTTGAGAGGTCCATATTGCTTTGCCTTAATTTTCCGTTGGTCCTTCACCTGGACTCTTACGAGACACCTTTGGATTGTACAGGAAGAAAAAAAGCACATCATTGTTGGCTTCTTTGCATTACTTTCTTGCATTCGCCGTGACGGAATTTCGATATTATATTAGGATTGACCAATTATCAATTTCCCAGCTGGAATTGATCGACCTGGAGTCCTTAGATTTCTCTGTAGATGTCATACCATTCGTGCTAACTACACATACAGTCACGGCTTCAACATTGGATATATCATATTTTAAGGAGAAAACTACCATTTGGTGGAAACTGATTTCAGCTGAGTCGTATTCACTCGGTATAAGCGTTCTCAATCATGGCAGTATACTTTGATCATAAAATCCAGGCCCCTTCAGTGGCATTACAGACTGATATAGCATGGCACAACAATTATTCCCTTTTGGCAGTTGCTTCGAAAAATGAATCGGATATGGGAGGCTCCGTAAACTTCTATCTTGATGAGGTATGTACATTAGTAGCTGAATGACACTTCCAGTTCAGTTTATATCGATAAGAATGAAATCGATCCCTTTGTGTAAACAATAGGTATCGAGTCACCTTTGACACGTTTTACTCTGCTTTGATCTCAGTCATAGCATTCATAATCATGAGATATTCACCTTCAGACTGGCAGCACCTTTGCTGACAAATTTCTGGATCAGGCACAAGGGATGAAAGATGGTCAATAAAAAAGCAATTGGAGGGGGGTCGCTAGTCTGTTGTCTTTGTGAGGCTTTGTACAATTGTTGAAATACCACTGAGGATGTTTACTTAGCAGCCATTGTCAACTTTTGTGAGGATTTAATGTATGATTTAGGACCTACAGGTTTAGATATAAAAATTGATTCCAGGTTCAGAGTTTGCTCAAAAGTTTCTGTCCACTTCACTTTCAAACATAAAACTTACTGACAACCCTACCTACCATCTTTTTCACTTGTCTCCAAAAGCTGAGTGCTTGAAATAGACTTCGTCTGACAGGGTTGGTTTTTATTTTTGACTGTGATGTTCTTTTCTCTTTAATACATATCTATAATTTGCCTACAGGGAGAGCTAGTGGAAGAATCTTCAATTCAACGTTCCAGTGCAGTAACAGCTATTGTCTGGCATCCTGTTAGAAAGATATTAGCAATTGGCTGGGAGAGTGGGGATGTTTTGATGTGGAATGAACATGATCGCGAATTACATGAGACTTCGTCCATTCATCAGTCAGCGGTTCGAGTTATTCAGTGGAGTAATAATGGAAACAGACTAGTCACTTCTGATGAGGTTATTGACAGTTTAATAGATTTATTTAAAAACTGTACATTGTATTAGCCTAAAACAATCCTGATCATGCATACAATAGAGGATATTTCTCATTGTCCTTCACCACCAAAATTATTGGCCTAAAATGTTCATGATCATGCATGTGATGGATGATTTCTCATCTTCCTTTACCACCCAAATGGTCTTTCTGTAAAGTATCTGCAACAAAGTATTAAAAAAGAAAAATGAATCTTATGTACAATTTTAAATATTTCATTTTAGAGTGGGATTTTGGCAGTGTGGAAAGCAGATCAAAAGGGAAGACTACAGCAATCACCAATCTATCAACATGATGTCTCCTCACCCATCACAGCTTGTGTCTTCAAGCCTCCCCTAACATCTGACTAGTGAGTATAAATCCATGTGGAAAAACCTAAGGCTTTCATTGGTTACCCTCAGTTAATACCCTAACTGAGGGTATCTTTTCGTGATCATGCTATTGGAGTGGCATTGCTGTTTTACACAGGTTGCATTTGTCTTATAATGTTTTAATTGAAATATTGAACTTTTGAAACCCACAATATATGTTCTCAGTCATGAAGGAATCCAGGTTGAAATTATTTCATTCTACTTTCATTTGTAATTAATTTTTCTTTGTCTCTGAATTCTCATAATTTACTCAGAACTAAAGAAAATACAAATAATGAAATACATGAAAATTTTGAATTATTATCAGTCTTGTGGTGCTTCAAATTTCCATTAATTTTTTCATAGTTTTGGTTTAGAGTTGTTATAATTTACTAGCTTTTTCCAACTTTTTTTACCTTTTTGCCTATATGAAAGTAACAGTTCTTCTTTCGGATTGTTGTTTCGAATAACAGTCAATCATTGAGAGCAATTGTTTTTTTTTTAACAGTGACATTTCTAGTTTGGCAAAAGCAGCTGTTGCAGGAGATGAGTCTGCTTTAGACATGTTAAGTTGGAGAAAGGGCAATAAAAACGTGGCAAATACAGCCTCTACTGATTATTCCTTCTTTTTCGGTGTAGTGGATGGTGAGCACTCTTTCCATTCTGCTATTCCTACCTAAGAGATAATTGCATACATTGTGATTACAACGGCAGTTAGTTAGGTGTTTTACTCCTTTCAAGTTTAACCCTCTAACTCTAAGTGATTAACTTGTAACTTCTCCCTTTAATATCCATACAAGATCCAGCAAACAGATAACAAGACTATTTAAACTTATCAGGTGGAAGTTGTTATCTTGATCTCCCTTCTAGCTGTTACACATTTCCTTGTAAATTAGTGATGACAGATTTGGTGTTTGACTAAGATAACAACTTCTCTCTGATAAGTTTGAGAATTCTCATTACCTGTTTGCAACATAATGTATGGATATTCAAAGCTGTGCTCTAAGGAAAATTGAATGGAGCCCAGTGCTCTGAAACTGTGAAATCTAGGGTGCCCAGCATATGCTTTGTATGAAAAAAACTAAAATTTCTGAATCGCCCTAGAGCAAAAGTAAGGCGCCAGGGGCCACAGGGCACTGCTAGAGCAAAGCCTTGATATTATAGGGAGAAGTTATATGGGAGTTGTATGGTTAAAGAGTAGGGCATGGAGCTGTTTACATTGTGTTCTGGCTTTCATGTGTCTCAACAAGTTCGCATTGGCATACTGTGGTTGAGCTGTAAACACTTAAGACAAGGGAGTGCTTGTTCATCTGCCATACATTTATTTTGCTGTTCATTCTGATTGCAGGTTCAGTGTATTTTGTTGATGACAAGGGTCGTTGCACACAGTGCTTCACAGCAGAAGGTGCTATAAAATTCCTGTTGTACAGTGAGGGAAGGGACATGATCGTGGTAGTTACAGAGGGTTTGATTCTTTCACAACACAGGGTGGCTCATGATGGTACCACATCAGAGGTTGCCAAGGTTAGCGCCATGAATTCCAAGGAATGCATATATGTGATACTTTTTTTTCCCAATACCTATCAGTTCCTATTACTAAATACTTTCCCAAACACAAGGCTTCAAGCTCAATTTTTCTAAGTTGCTATCTCATCTGGCAACCCAAAATCCTGACATGGTCCATAAAACAAACATTTAAATCATAAAAAAGATGGAAATGGACATTTTGTGCAATTTAGACCAGTAACTGTAAGCATAGTGTATTTAACTCGTAACCCCTAAGAGTGATTAGCATCAAATATCTCCTTACAATGCCTCTTCTAAATAAACCATTAAGGTTACAAGAATAAAAGAAATGACCACCAACCAAAGACTGAAACTCTTGATTTTTAAACAAATATTTGTCAACACTTTTGGAAAATGTGTAGAGAACAGTTTGGAGGATGTGTATACTGTCATTAGGAAGTAAAGGGTTAAACAAATTACAGCTTGCTGCTTAAGTGCCAAACATTGATTGTCAAATTGGCAACTTTTGCTGCAAATTTAGTCCCTATTATTTTTCTTCTTGTTATGGTGACGAAAACAGTTGCTTAGTACTTAATGGTGGATAATCTATTTTGCGAACTTCTGTCGTTTAATAAAGTTAAGATATTATTTCTTTTATGGTATTTATCACAAATGCTTCTTTTTACCTTCATTAGGTAAAACTTAGTGGACAACCTGGTAAAAGCCAAATAATCTGGGCAGGAAGACAAGTGTTGGCAACAGCATCAGAAGAAAATGTTGTCAGGTGAAATCAAAGAATAAAATATTGCCAGAGAAATACATATATCTTATTAGACGTTTTGTTGTGTAGTATGGCTGAGTATTTTTACGAGTTGTGCTGTATTTTGACGAGCCCACAGAGCGAGTCAAAATACAAATAACGAGTAAAAATACTCAGTGATACTACACAACAAAATGTCCAATAAGTTATTTATTATCCAACATGCCAAATTGTTATTTCAGTGCGGGCGAATTTCGCGGATATTTATTTACTGGGAGTGCGTGACAGAAGTATGCGAAGTAGAACGGAATTGGCGTGTTGTTGTGTCGCTGTTTCTATTTTCTTCATTAAATGAAGAAATTTTCTGGTCGTCAAGCTGTTTCTTTGTTCGATTCGTCTAATGAACTTGGACCTATATTTGCCAGCCATTGACTCTTTGTCATCGGAAATATGATTAAAATTTTCCGCCACTTTTCTTTTTCTTCGTAACTACAATCCAATTCTTCACTTGCACGTTGTGAGAAAACCTGTTTAACTGGTACTACAATAGGCAAGTACAAATACCGTGTGATATTTGTACTCAGCTAAAGCATTATTTGTACTCGTCTAGGTGTAGTTGGATAATAAAATCATGTATTAACATGGTTAAACCAATCCCAACAGAAAGATCATTTTAACTTTTGTGAGTTACTCAATAAACAGTGTTGGGGCTGCTGTTTCCATCCATTTCAAAGAGAAAAAATCAGAATGCACCTTTCAGCATCCAACATTTGTAATCAATTGATCAAACATTCTTGTAGGAACTGGAAAACTGTACTAATTGTGTTGTGCTTTTAATGTAGAATGTGGAATGTTGAGCAAAATGATAACTACATCCTTTCAGTTGATGGTAGTGGCTTTGAACTTGGTGAGGTGGTCAACTGCATATCATTTAACAAGGTTAAAGGTAATCCTTGATAATCATCTACCATTGTTGTTCACTATTAAAACTTTATAAACTGAAGAATTCCACCCTTTCACTCCCAAGATTTCATGAGTATTTCTCCTAACTGTCTACTATACAATTCATGTGATGTTAGTTAAGAGAATTTTGTATTGGATCAACTGATAATCCCCTTATTTATCTTTTTCTTTATTCTCATCACTTGTCTGCTCAACATTGTATTGATATTGTAAGGAGAAATGCTGACTTGGTCATTCCTTAGAGTTAAAGAGTTAAGTCACACCATTAACATGTTCACCCCAAGCCCAGTGTTTTCTTACCTCAGTCAGTAACCAGTAGAACTCATCCCCCCCCCCCCCATCAAAGTACATCTTATTACCACCTAAAATCACTTAAAATTCTTGAAAATTCAACAGGCTAAAGGATTGCTTTACTGGTTTGAAAATTTATTTAACCTGTCATGCTTAAAATAAGGGAGAACATTGTATGTTTCATTAAACTAGGTATTCTGGCTGGTGGAACAAACAAAGGAAAAGTAGCAATGTGGAAACATGTGGTTACTAAACCTCAAAAGAAAAAGCTTGAAGGACAGGAAAAATGGGAGCTTCAATCACCAGCTGTTTTGGAGGGAGAAACACAGTTGTCACAGATACAGGTGAGAAAAGTACATCACCTCAGATCACATACGTGTGGTTTTCCGCTGGCAGAGGGACGAAAGAAGCGGAAAGCGTTTTTCTCACACACAGCTGGGAGAATGGGTTCAAGTGTGTAGGGGGTCTCCAGGTCACATGGCATTTCAAGGTTCAGTTCAGTTGTTTTGTTGCCTTCTGCTATTGCCTGACCTTCCCCACCCACCCTCCATATGTTTTTAGGGATATAGGATTTCAAGTAGTGCCTCAGTTCCAGTTATTTGTGCATGTCAGTCTTCTGTATCTAGGCTCAGTTTCAGCTGTTTTGTTAGTGTTGTAACCCTAATGGTTCATCGTGTTGATATAATTAAGGTCGGGCTGCATGGTTGGCTTGGCATGGCTCCCAGTTGTGTGTGAGAAAGGTTTTTAGCAATTGATGCTATAGTTGCACTGTAACAGAGAACTTTCCAGTCATGTAATTTTTCAATTACCTGTGCTTGCAACTTAGTTTTTTCGGTTGTTCCTGCCCTCACCCCTCTGGTACTCCTGACCACTGAAAATTTGCTTGTTTCTGAAATACTTTTGAAGTACTACTTCAAAACTGTCACACACATTCAAAATACTCTATGTTGGGGTGAATTTTATGTGATCTTTTCCTGGGTGTGTGTGGATATTTCCAGGAAATATGCACTAATCAAGATGACGTGGTTTATCAATTGAGTTGATAATGTCAATTGGCAACTGTATTGGCATTAGGCCTTCACCAGATCGATCTTGCAACACCCCAAACCAATGTAGCACCACAGTTTCTTTAGAACCTTACCCCTTAAATGCACTAATCTCCATGTCACAGTGCATGCAAAATTCAGGATGTCCAAAATATCTCACAGTCATTTTTTTGTTGTTTTTCAGTGGGGTGGTAATAAGAGTCTTCTTGCAGTAAATACAGGAGAAACTGTAATTATCTTGAATGAACAAGTTATGAATGCTCATTATAATCTTGAGGTAAGTGATTCTCTTGGCATTGCAACACTATGCATGTCATAGACATAGGGTAGCAGTTACTGTGCATTTGTTATGTCCTTTGTAAATCTAAATTCGAATCACTGTCAAAGTCCACTATTGATAATAATATTGCAATGTTAATTTTCTGTTCTTTCGAATATCAATGCATGGCAGAGATTTTAAAGTGTTTTCATTTAGCAAAGACGTCACCATTCCTGATTTGTTTCAGCTTGCAGCAGTTCAAGTTTCACCAAGTCAGCTGGCTATTGAAAATTTTACAACTGGTTACTGTCAAGATCTTAAGACAGACATTCATATCAAGGGGGTATTTGTGACAAAGGTGAGTTCTCGTGGATGTTACATAACTGCAATTGTGCTTAAAATTGAAAATATCCGACAGAATCTATTTAATTATGAGATTTTCATTGGTTGTAAGTCTGCTCATGAAACAAGTGGCCCATTAGACTGGCACTTAACTCAGGTTTCCATAGCATGAAGCGATTAGGCAGATTTCTCCCCCCCCCCCCTTCATGGGATGCTAGTCCATCCCATCGCAGGGTTACCCCCCAACCTTAAGTTAGCCATTACCCATTTAAACACCCGGGTGAAGAGAGGCACTGTGAGAGTACAGTGTCTTGCCTAAGAACACAACACAATGTCCCCGACCAGAGCTTGAACGGAGACCACTCGATCCACAAACTAACCATGAGGCCACCTTGCATCCACTTCATTGTTTGTACTTGTGGCAAATTTGAAAGGTGTAAAAAGGGGGTGAATATGGAAGCCGAAATTGTACAAACATAAGCTTGTCGTTTTTATTTTTGGCATCAGTGTTTCTGTATAGAAGTTTTTCATCCAAAAGTCTGATAAATGTTTTGGTCTTATAAAATTCTGAGATGCCGATAGAAGTTTCTAAAGTACATTAAATTCCAAAAGATGTAATTTTTGATTAGTAATTAAAATGGAGACGGTACTGACATGAGCTGTTAAATGTTTGTTAAAATAGAGCCACACAGCGATATGGAATGGTAAAAAAGTAGTAGTTTATGAAGTGGCAAGTGACAAGAGTTTGGTCAGAGCAGAAGGTACAGTGGTGTTTCTTTTGCCATCTTTTGTTTTACTTGAAACACTTTTGTATAAATTTTGAAAAAGCTTCTCAAAGTTTGATATTTTTATCTGAATGGCGATGCATGTATAAAACATCCCTTAAGTCATTCTTTCTTTTTTAGGTTCTTTTAGTTCAGACTCTCCTGTTGTTGGGGTTCATGAACAAAGTGTTTATACTGTAGAACCAGGGAAGATTCTTGTCAGGACTTTTCAGGTATGATTTGTAAACCTGGCTGATTGTATCTTGGTGCAACAGTGACTCTCCTGGTGGTTTCAGTGCAGACAAGTGCCTTGACTCACAAATCAGTGCAGTAAACACTGGGTCTTTGGGGAAAACTAACTTGCTTGCTAATTTGACTTGCTTGTGAATGACTACTTTCTCTGAGTGAAGAAAGGCTGGGTAGTATCATTCAACAACAATCATTGTCAAAATTTGGAAAGCCAAGCCAAGTGCATTTGCTGTTTTAAAAACAGTCCCATTTTGGCCAATCACTTTCTTTCCTTTTCTTTTTTTGTGGCCAGTTATGCCCTCCAACACTTTGAGCAGTGAGCTTGTGTTTTGACTTCTCTTTCACTCCATGTGAGATTTTTTCTTTTCATCTGATTGGCTGTTGTGATTACCATTTAATCCCCAAGACTGACCGGCATGTAATTTCTCCTTACAATATCACCCCTGAATCACATATTAAGGCCAGGAGAATAAAGGAAATGATCACCAGCTAAAGGAGTTGTTGATTAACAAACAAATTCTCCTTGTCAGCACCTTTGGAAATGTATAGAGAACAGTATGGAGAATATGCATACAGATGTTAGGGTGTAAAGGGTCCTGTTTTAGGACACTCAATCAAAATTTTTTCTTGCCGGTAATTCCCGCTCCTGTTTCATGTTTTCCTGTTGGTATTTTTTTTTAACTTTGGAACAAAAAGCTGGTATCATTTTAGTCAGTTTTGGATCTCTTCTCATTGCATTTTGCCATGATCATTGTTCTTTGTGTTGGTAGGGAACGGTCAAACAGATTCTCCAGTTTTCTGAAACAGAGGGCGATCCCATTCTTTTAGATGTGTGTGGAAATTTTCTTGTTCCTGGCACGTCATTGGGTTATGTCAAGGTCTGGGATTTGTCAAGAAGGTAAAAATCTCCAACAATTCTGGTACAACATTTCGTCAATCCATCAAAAACTCAGTTCTTTTTGGTGATTATTGATTCATAAAGTGACTTGTATTGTAGTTTCTCTTTTCACATGGGATTCCAGCCCGTCTCAGTTACATATACCACATAACGTTCTATTGTAACCTAGAAATTCTTCGTTGCCCCTTCACACTTACAGTGATACTTTCAGGTCACAATGAGAGAGAGGTATTCTAGTTTAGAGTCCAGCCCAGGGTCCAGTCCAGCTTTTCCAGGTCCTCGTCCTCAAGGTCGATCGTTGGTATCAAGGCCTTTACTATCATTCTAACTCTAACAAAATATATTCAGTACATTCAGTGGAGTAATTTCTTTTTGCCCAAAAATTATCTGCATCATCTACCTCTGGGTAAAATATAGTGAGAGACTTTCTGTTTAAATTTGAAGGGAAGCTAAACAACACTGCAATCCCAAGTCTCTTGAAGAAAGTATTACAGGGATTGGCAAACTGAAATCCGTCAGATGCAACTGTAATGGCACTAGAGTTAGCATCATGTGTGATAAGGTAAGACGATGCAGAACTGTTTCACTTTGATCGTTTGTCTTTTTACTTGCTGAACAATGAAAGGATTTACGTTCCTCTTGTCCACACAATTTGGACTTACAACTTGACCTCTTACAACTTGTAAGTTCATGGCACCTATAATTATTGATATTCATAGGCAAAATTATCTGATCATTGTCGCGGAAATCGTTGTTGAAAGTTTCCAGGCAAAACAAATCTGTTCTTGCTTGTTCTAGGCAAACAACTCTCCAGATAGTAGAATTTATGTGTGGGACATAGAACTTGATGCTTTTCAATCATTTGACTTCGCTACGGGCCAAGGAACTGGAGCAGATGAAGGTGATAAAGAAAGCACTGATCTCACGAATAAGGCGCAGCTGGCTGCCGAAGTTGCCGGCAGGAGGCCGGCGTCTATGTTCTGGGATCCCACGGAACCCAAGTTGTTAGTCTGTGAGGCTCCGCACATTCCAGGAATGGAACGCGAAGCAACAAATAACAAATCGTCCTCAAGGAAGTCTGTAAATGCGATAGCTGCCGATGCCAGTAGAGAGGTGTGTATATCATTCATTTAGCGTGCTTACTCAAATGCTGCAATCTGATTGGCCACACTACTCGCTGTCTATAAACAATTAGATTAGAAGCTCGGGATTTCAGGGAATGATCAAATTGTTTTTGTACAAATTCTAGTAGTCGTTCAAAACTTAACAACAAGGCAGGCTCATGTTTTTACTTTACTTTGTTTAAAACCGCACAATTTTAGGCCACTCACTTTGCTCAGTATCTATCGCGGGGTAAATAACATTTGCGTAGCCAATCAGATTTCAGCATTTGTTTTGAAACGCGAGTAAATTTATAATCCGTGATGGATAGTGAGTAATGAAAATCGCACTCGGTGTGACCTATTGGTATTATTATTTTCAAAAGAGAAGTATAATCGTTTGTCTCACGATGAGATCACTGCGGATGTGGATCGCGACGTTTCAAATGCATACTGCTAGTCTTCTTCGGGCGATGAAGTCGAATCTCAGGTGTAAAGTTGACTGGTATTGTTATGTAGGAAAAATGTGAGCCTCTCTTGTTACTAAGTTTTGAACGACTTGTATTGTTATACTTGAACAATTGGATTATTGGCTCTCGATTTCTACGCGTGATAGTCGGTTTGGGCTTCACTTTCATTAACTATCGCGAGATCAAAATATCGACCCCATAATGAAATTGTTAGTAAAGGACCATTCATTGTTTATTTCCGGGAGGTATCGGGTCGAAGGATTTTGGTCGCGTCACAATAAAAGTTACCTGATCCCCCTCCCCCTCCCTAAGGCTCTGTAGTATTCCAGTGATCTCTTCCCCCTCATTAGCAGTCAGTTTTCTATAGTCCTCTCTTTATGTTCTGCTAGCGACGACTGATCCCTCTTCGTTCGCCCTGAGAATCATGTTTTCCCCCAACTCTTACAACCCCCCCCCCCCAACAAAAAAAAAGAAAAAAAAACCGGTGTCAAATTATGAGTGGTCTTTTAGAATTGGTTTCAGTAAAACAAGGTCCCCTAACTGACAACGTGGTATGATTTGAAACATCAAATTTTTGCGTACTGGTGGAGTCACGTGGTTCGTTTTATTTTATCCTCAACAGAGTGATGTTTTGGTGATATCACTGTTCAGTACTCCAGAAAATGGAATCTTGCTACAGGACTTTTTCCCTATTGACTCAACTTACTTTAGTAAGTTCTCTCTTCCATGGCCTGATTCAAAGGTTGTGAAGTCTTTTTACTTATTTGTTTGTTTCTTAGAGTCATCAAATTCATGGATTCTTACTGAGGTCAAATTCTTTTTCCAGGTTTACTAGGAGTACAAGCACCCTACTTCTACTTGGTTAAAAAGGTTGGTATCGACGATTTTTCTTGAAAACAGAATTCTTGAGTCGTCAGACTGTTGCTTTTTAATTATTTTTATGAAAATGATTCTGTGAGAACGTCTGCAGCTGTTTTTCAACGTCTAGTTTAGTTTAGTTTATTAGCTTCACCGACTGGTAGGGACACCGCAACAGCTTGCGCCAATTACTGCGGGCCCAGTAAACCCAACCATCCCACCCCAGGGGAGGACATCCACCACACAGTAATCTTGTGCATGGGAAATTAACGTCTTCTACCCCCCCCAACCCTGCAGGAGACGGGAACTCCATTTATTCGTCCCTATCCGAGAAGACTAGAATATGTAACCATTTCTTGATGTTATAGAAAGGTAGCAAATTCTTCTCAATTATTTTAAGACCTTGAGTGTTGGTCCGGCCGGGGCTCGAACCTTCGACCTCCCGCTCAACAGTCCAGCGCACTATCCATTGGGCTAACTGGTCTCCCCCTTTTCATCTTGTGGCATCTGATTGGTTGACAGGCTAGCGCGGGATTTTTAGACCAGTCGTAGAACTAAGTGAAGAAAAACCCTTCCCTGGTAGCTTTCAAAATCGGATTGAAATTTGCGCCTCAAATTGAGAGAAGTTTTGCTTTGGAAAACGTAATACCTAGTTGCGCTGTGTTAAATCTAACGCCTTCTCACCTCAATTATCCTTGTTTTCTTCTGTTCCATTTTGCGTTCAGTGAAAGAAAATTCTGCCATCAATACTCATTTTTTTGTATCATTTGTTGAACCAACAGAGCAGCGAGTTAGAAGGTGCCCCACCCCCGGATCCACCGTCGTATGGAGCGACGAACATACCCCTCCCTGATAAACACCACATGGTGACTAAATACACCATGAGAGATTTCATTGGATTTGAGAAGGCTGATGCCGAGGCCAGGAAGGCCATGATGAATTTTAGTTACCTTTCCGCCATTGGAAACATGGACGAAGCCTTCAAAGCGATCAAATTAATCAAAAGGTTGGAGTAATATTTTCGATGGCAGATGCATGAAAATACACATGAAAACGCCATATATAAGACTATTGGTCCAACTTTCAACCCTCCCTCCCCTCTCTCTCTTTCTCTCTCTCTCTCTCTCTCTTTTGCCCAACCACCAACCCCTTAGTGATTGTTTCTCTCCCCAATCTTCCCCTAATACTAAGAATCGAAGATGGCGAACAAACATCTTCGCGAAAAATCACGGAAAGTTCTCTCACCGAAAATAGTCCCTTAGACAATTTATGCGGAGAAAGCCATCATCCCGCGCGATTGCAACGAGTGTGAGTCCCAGGCTACAGTTCTTACAGAACCAGAAATGAAGGAATTGTTAAAGGATGGATCTTGTTTCTTTCATTTGTTTTAGTGAATCAGTTTGGGAAAACATGGCTCGCATGTGTGTGAAGACGAAGCGGTTGGACGTGGCCACTGTGTGTTTAGGCAACATGGGTAACGCTAGAGCCGCTCGAGCGCTGAGAGAGGCACAGCAAGAACCTGAATTAGACGCTAGAGTGGCATGTTTAGCGATACAACTCGGCATGACCGTAAGTTGAATACTGACAATCATTTTAAGCATTTCCCGCCAAGTGAAGTTTTGTGAAGCAATGCTGCTCAGGACGAACTTGTCAGAGCTGAAGCGCTGCATATCTCAGTGCTCAGTACATGGCCAAGACACAACCCTTACTTATCCATTTTCCAAAACAGGATGAAGCAGAGAAACTGTTGAAGAACTCTTCACGTTACGACTTGCTAAACAAGTTTTACCAAGCATCCAATCAGTGGACGAAGGTTAGAGAACTTAACAACCTCTTTACCAGGCTATCTCTTCTTCCCCCCTCTCTTGAAAAACCGAAGCCGTTCAAAAAAAAAAAAAAAATTGGTTTTATTCAATCATTGTTTACTCTCATTCTAAATTGTTTCTATAGGCTATCGAAGTTGCTGAGCTTCAAGATCGCATTCATCTCAGAACAACCTACTACAACTACGCCAAACACCTAGAGTCTACTGGCAACATATCAGCGGCTATAGTCAAGTGAGTGGATCTAAAGGCCAAAAAAACTCTCTGCAATTGCAAAGAGAGCTGATTCTGTTGTGTAGTTTTTCTTCAATGCCGTTGATCTCAAAAGAAACAGTCGAGATTAACGCCTTGAATTTAACCCTTTTTACTTCCAAGATCTGATTATTAATTCTCCCCTCTAGTCGATACACATCTCTTTTAAATCAGTTTTGAGAATTTGGTGTTAGATCAAGGCAGATAACAACTTCCACCCGATAAGTTTGAGTATTCTCATTACCTGTTTGATGGATGATGTATGGATAACTTACATGTTGATCACTTCTGAGAGTTAAATAAGTTAGCTTCCGGGAACGCTTTCAGGATCCTAGCCCATTTACCATAAGCCAGAACTCACATTTCTCATATTCGTATACTTGCCTATACCTTTCAGTTTTGAAAAAGCAGACACACATCGGTTTGAAGTACCCAGGATGCTTTTGGAGGAACCTCAACAGTTAGAAGCTTATATTCTGAAAACAAAGGATAAGTGAGTCATTGTTTTTTTCCGGACCATGGTTTAAAATGAGATTGGTGGAGAAACTGATATTATTTTTTAATTGAAGCAATTGCAAACAAACCAGTGAAAACGTGCTTCTAGCCTGCAGGCGTAATTGGCAAAAATTATAGCTGCCATCTTTGATTTTTACAGCTGCGAAAGTCTGGGGAGAGACAGAAATTATTATTTAGGGGGTGAGCGACGGTCAAAAGGAAGGAAAGGGGAAGGGAGGGGTGCGGAAATAGAAATTCCCGCCCTCTCCCACAGTCCATCCTAACTCTGAATCAAACATAGCCGGTCGAATAAACGATCGCAAGCTTGCAAGATTAACTTGTTTCGAGCAGGATTGACTTAAGAGGCAATTTTTCTGTTGATGGCTCAATGATTTTGCGCAAAACGAAGGTGGTCACTTATTTGTTGTGTTCACTAACCTTTCTCCCAGGGAGTTGCGCAAATGGTGGGCCCAATACATGGAGAGCACTAGCGAAATGGAAACAGCGCTTCAGTTTTATGAAGCTGCCCGTGACAACTTGTCACTGGTTAGAGTTTACTGTTACTGCGGTAACCTAGAAAAGGTACAAAACAACTTTTTATGACGTAAGAGTGTCTGACCAATTTCCACGTAGAGCAAAATTTTGATTGGTCCAGAAAACTGGAGCCAGCTTCTCAACCAATCAAACGCAAAATTGAAACCAATTACTGCGTTTTCCCGCGCTTTAAGCAGGTTGGTTGTTTTTACTTTGAGTTCCCTTTGGTTACCGATGTTGTCAACTCCTGTTCTGAATGGCAGTTGGGATTACTTTGGTTTGGGTTTCTCCGCACTCAACTCAACTGCAGTTAGCTTTTCGTCGTTAAAATATATCGTTAGTATTTAATTTGTTTGTAGTTTATGAGAGGAGACGAGCGCCACGGAGGCAATAATAAACCAATGGAAAAGATCACTAATATTGAGAAGATTGACACAGATTTCTAGGCGAATATTGTAACATAACGTCTTTGACCGGTGGAAAGAATAGCCCAAGCCGCCACTCTCGATACGTATGTTTTCCCGCGTTGACGCCGGTTACATCGTGGGTTTGGTATTTTTATTGGCTAAGTAGCTTAAAGCTTCAACCAATCGTCGGTCGGTGTTGGCAACTTTTCCCGCTGTTTTTGGAGGGGGTGATGTTTCATTTTAAGTAGGGTCTTAAACGTGTGCAGCTATGTATCACAGTATTATTTATCAAAAATGCTTAACACTGACACCGAGATCTATCTCCACAGGCTGCGGAAATTTGCAACGAAACTGGCGACAGAGCGGCTTCGTATCATCTTGCAAGGCAATTCGAAAACCAGGTTAGTGCAAACTGATGAGAGCCCAAATATTTAGTTTTGGATAAAACATAGATCCTGAACCAAAAAGGTATCTTAATTTCCAAAAAAGATATTAAAAGAATATTTAACAATTATTCCACGAGCGGGCGTTGGATATGAGATGATAGATAGCCAACGAGGTGCGTAGCGCCGAGTTGGCTATAATCATCTCATATCCAACAAGCGCGAGTGGAATAATTGTTTTATTAAAAACGCCCCCAAGAAATTATCATTTTGTAAGGAGAAACTGAAATTTTTAGCTCCCTTTTAATTTTAAGCTGACACGTACGCTTGCCATATTTGTAGATTATGGTATATTGGCTGATATACCATAATGTCTAAGCCAATAAAAAGTCTTGAATTGCATTATCCAATGATCTAGTTTTTAATAATACATGTTATTTGTTGTTTTCTTTTTAGGAGAAAATTAAGGAGGCTATCCACTTCTACACGCGTGCTCAGTGCTATAACAACGCGATACGACTTGCTAAGGTAACACCTCTAAAACGTCTTGTAGATAAACAATTGTTTGAAATAAAAGGACAACGATATTATTGAACACTTAGGGGACCATTCATTAGTTATTGTCCCGAGGGGGAGAGGGCAGAGGAATTTTGGGGCGATCACATGGTTTTCAGGGGGATCAAAAGGGGATCAGTCGTCGCCAACAGAATATAAAGGGAGGGGGGGGGCCTCTAGGAAATTGACTGCCAGTGAAAAGGAATCCTAAGAATGTTACAGAGCCTTATGGGGGGGGGGGAGGAAATCAGGTAAATTTCATTGTGACATAACCAGAATCCTCTAACACCTCCCCCCCTCCCAACCCCGGGTGTTGAATAATGACTGGCTAGAGGCAACTGTTCTGTGTATGCCTCTGTGACTCCGTAACAAACAAAGATGGCAAAGTGTAGTGGGGAACGGTTGACTCGTGGTTATTAATTTTCTAGGAACACGGCCTGGATAATGAACTGATGAATCTGGCGTTACTCAGCTCTCCGCAAGACATGCTGGATGTAGCGAGGTTAGACCTAAAGTTTTTATCAAAATACATCTTAGATCCTCGAACTACAACAAAATTTCTTAAGCAGGCGCATTTTTCGCTCTCGCCACTAGACTCCTCCGCGCTTTGATTGGTCGTTGCATGGAGTATACTTTCTCTCTTTCTCTTTACGTGACGAGTGACTGCAAAGAATACTACTTGCAACCGGAAGTCGCATCTTCTTTTCGCTAGTGCACCTGTGACCTCGATTTTCGTTCTCGTACCGTTATAGTTCTAAAACTGAAACAAGTATTTTTACTGACTGACTGGTGATTATCAAACCTGTGTGCAGGAGCTATTTGGTTCGAAACTCGACGAATTGCACTTTCGTAAATTCTCTCTCTATGACAGCTCATGCTATAAGCCTATGAGTTCACGGAAGTAGCTTCAAGTAATTCCTAACTTGTGCGGCGAAAGCAGCGCTTTTTCAAAGTCATTTAATTTCCATTCACAACTTTGCCGGAGCTTTAATAGGAATTTCAATTAAGTCTTTTGAAATGCCAGTTGTCCCGAAGAATAGTTCAGAGGGGAAAAATGTAATGTTCGTAAAATTGTAGCAGAGCAAGGTTTTGATCCTCGGAACTCTGGGTTATGGACCCATGACGCCTCCACTGCGCCACTCTGTTCTACTTAGGGGTCCGACCATTAAACTTTTAGGGGGTGGGTGGGTGATTTCTGGTCATCAATAAATTTTTTTTCTAGCAATCTGCTGGACAGGATATTTTTTCCGTTCTAAATGCTCTTTTTTTTTCTGTTACATTTGGGCTGCATGCAATTTTTTCTTCCAACAAGCGCTTGCTGGAAATTTTTTTCCAAAATCAACCACCCCCCCTCCCCTCAAGAGTTAAATGGTCGGCCCCTTATCTGCAATTGCGTGTTTGACGAAAAAATTACTTTCTGTGTTATCACCCGCAAGTTCTGAGAGCGTCAATGAAAGTATTTCACACCTTAACCATAGCGCCTGTCAGTGGTTTATCCCATTTTTCGCAAGTGTTGAGTGCGTTTTTGTAACAAAAAAAAAATTAGAAAGGTTATGAAGAAATCACAAGGTCTTCTGGAAATGGACTCTTCAGATTTACTTTACTACAAATCTTTTTTTTTTATTATTATGAAAAGCAAAAAGCAGCTTTATTTTTGGTTGAGCACAATCGGGTTGTAATAGTTGTTGATTCTCAAGAACGCTTACTATGTATCTCCTCGGAGCTTAATGTTTTTCCCTCTTCCTTCAAGTTCGTTTCGGTTTTTAATCTATGACGCACTAACGGTCAATATTTTAATGCTATCCGATTCTCTGTTTGTCTTTTAACGTACCTGTCTACAGTTGCTAAGGGACAAAAATAGAAATTTTGATGATTGAATCATTCTAAAGCTTTTTATATTGCCAAGTGCCTCTTAGTTCCTGAGTCATGCAGTTTAATGTAACAGATTCATCTTTAAAAGGCCCCGAATAATCGTTGTGTAGGTTTAGAAATGTTATCGGAGACACTATTTTTAAATACTTCTCCTAAAGAAAAAGAATGAAAAGCAAAGTTCAGTTTTATTCAAATTCGTCTTGTCTTGTTTTGGTTTTTACCTCGACTCTTAAGACAGCTAAGAACGACAATTGGAATCTATTTAAATATCATGTACTTGTGAAAAGAATAAAATAATGTGTTATTTGGCCAAAAGTGTCTAGCAGAGCGAGGTTTTGATCCTCGGACCTCTGGGTTATGGGCCCAGCACGCTTCCACTGCGCCACTCTGCTGCGCTCATATTTATATCGAAATTCTTACTATTTATTGCAACGTTGTGATGAAAGAGATGGTAATGTTGCATCATCCGCTGTTTGCATATTTTATACCGTAATGTAATTATCATATTAATTGTGAGCGGAGCCGGGAATAAATTAAAAACAATTTTGTTTTGCATATTAATTAAATTTCTTTGAGAGTGAAAGAGTCAAAAAGAAAAAAATAATTCGCGTAGCGGAATTAATGATAGTTAAGTTTAGCACTGTGGTTTTCTCTTGACGCGTTTAATTTGTCGACAAACGCTAACGCTTGCAATTTTTTTCAGCCTAAGTTTTTTTCTTAAAATGTTTCTCTATTTGCAGATACTATGAGAACCATCCCAACATGCAAGATAAAGCAGTCATGCTTTATCACAAGGTATATTTTGTGTTAAAAATATTGCCTCCAGTAAAAGCATTTATACCGGGCAAGTGAACATTAACCAAACGTTTTTTGAGGAAAAGCGTGTCAGCCTTGCGATAGAACGGCACTTTCCGAACAATTCAAGCTACTGGAAGGCTTGTGTAGGAAACTTTTCATTGTCCAGTTTATTGCAGGATACGTGATATAAAGGTATAATTTTTGTCGTTTTGTATTCTTGACCGCTCTCAGTTTGAGTAAAATTTTTTGGCAACTTTCGTTGTGTTAGACTAAAATTTTCCCATAATTATTGTAGAGTAAGAAATGCAGTGAGATCTATGATGATTGATATCCATATTTTTCGCGAACATACCCCCCCAGAATTGGTCAGTCTAAGCAATACAGTTTTTTGATCTCTTGTCTTTCTTTTATTTCCTTTTTTAAGGGCGGAAATGTCACCAAAGCGTTGGATCTGTGTTTTGAAACTCAGCAGTTTGCGGCTCTGCAAGTTATAGCTGAGGATCTTGACGAGAGCACAGACCCTCAGATGCTTGACAAATGCTCCAAGTTCTTTTTAGAACATGAACAGTACGACAAAGCTGTTGAACTCTTGGTTGTTGGCAAACAGGTAATGCAGCACGGCCTTCGATGTTCGTTGTGTCAAACAAACAAACAAACAAACAAACAAAACTTTATACTTATTCTGATTACAGACAGACATAAGTGAAAATTCTTATTACAAAAATACATGATTAAAATGGTTTGCCCTGCAAATAGCTAAGAAGCTAGTCGCGGCGGGGTAAAACAAGAACGTGATTAAAATAACAAGTTATGGAAGAATAATAATAAATAAGGCAAACTTTCGTAGCTTCTCGTTACCCGTCACACTGAATGGTCTTCAGAATATTGGGCTTAGGATATAAGAGGAAATTGTGAATTGAGTTCGGTGCACTCGAAAGCACGTCCGCACAGCTCATGCGTCCGTTGGGTCAGTCGTTTATCGCGTTGCGTGATACCTTATCTCAAAGCGCTTTTTGTTGAGTGTTGTTAAACCAAAACCAAAGCAATCATAACAGCCAATCACAGCAAGGAAAATACCTGGAGGAGCCAATAAGAACTCCAACTGCCTGAACTGCGGGAAAACGCCAGTGAGCAGGTCGCTGTTGGTTTTAGTTTTGAATCTGATTGGTTTAGAATTGGCGCGAGTTTTCTGGACCAATCATATAACAAAGTAAAGCAGAAACAAAGCAATCCGGATTACCTGCGACTGATAAAAAAAATTTCCGCGAAAGAGGCCCTAAATCCTTGTCTTATCTTCAAAATATTGGTCGTCGCTTTAAAGCAGAAAAGAACTGAAATTGCTCTCTTTTTGTTAGTTCTCAGAAGCATTAGATCTGTGCATGAATCATAACGTTACCATCACAGAGGAGCTTGCAGAGAAGATGACGCTTCCCAAGGGTTCCGAGCCGGAGATCAGAAACAAACTTCTAGAAAGGATTGCTGACTGCTGCATGCATCAGAGATCATACCACTTAGCCACCAAGAAGTACACTCAAGCCGGCAACAAAATCAAGGTCAGTGGGCCCAAATGGAAGGGAATTTGACTTGTTAAAGCAACACTTTTTGAAGGAACTTTCGCCCTCTGAATCAATAAGGAACTGCTGTATGAATCTAAGACGACTTAGTTGTTTGCCTCATCTGACGAAGTCGGAGCAATTGGCAGGACTTTCCCTTTCCCCAGCTTTGTTTGCTTCTGTAGTTTTACTATGCCCAAGATAATATTATAATGTATCGTGCAACCCTTCCTTTCTCACAATAAGTTAGGTTGAGTGTCGGAATTAGGGGGGCGGGGTTTTTTCGGGAGGGGGTGGGGTCGGGGAGAAGAAGCGGGTTCGCGTTCAGGTGGGGTGTTGGCTTTTTTCTTGACATAATTTTTATTTCGTCGAGGAGAAAGATCGAGAGATAAAAGCAGAAAATCAGCCATGGGATACTGACGTAGAAGCTTGAAACTTACTTGCATTATCTTTTCCCTCATTACAGGCGATGAAATCTCTTTTAAAATCCGGCGACACGGAGAAAATTATCTTCTTCGCCGGTGTCTCCAGACAGAAGGAAATTTACGTAATGGCTGCCAATTATCTTCAGTCTCTAGACTGGCGTAAAGATCCCGAGATCATGAAGAACATTATAGCTTTCTACACCAAAGGTCGAGCGCTCGATTCGCTGGCCAGTTTCTACGATGCCTGTGCGCAGGTTTGTTTACCATGTGTCCTCTTTCGTTGTAACTGTCTCGGTACTCGCTTTAAGTTTTCTTTTTTTGATCTATGTTCATTCTTAAAACACACGCTCTTCTACCTCCAGGAATTTTTAACGTAAAACCCTCAAAACTTTAAATTTAAAAAAAACCACCTTTTTGAGAATTGGTACTTAACTGTGGAATGAGATTCCATATTTTTCTGAGAGAGCTACCCCCCCCTCCAAAAAAAAAAGCAGTCAAAATCAAATTACAAAACATACTGAAGAAAAAGAATCATTAATTGATTTAGATTTATATAGTAATGTTTTTCTTGGTGTATTGTATTTTTTGTAATCAGATTTTTGTAGAATGGTTAGCCTTCGTGTAACGGTACCCTCCCCCCCCCATTTCTCCCAAGGGGGGAGGGTACGGCTACTCTTATACACGTAGGCTATAGACTGGCCCGCCTAGACCAGGAAGAAATTGTAAATAATTAAAATAGGAAAAGTATAACAAAAGATTGTTGTTTTACTTTATTTTCTTTTAGGTGGAAATTGACGAGTATCAAAACTACGACAAAGCTCTCGGGGCGCTTACAGAAGCGTATAAATGTATGGCGAAAGCCAAGACAAAAAACCCAACGGATCAAGAAGAGAAAGTGGCTGTCCTGAAACAAAGAATAGGTTTTCTAAAGAAATTTGTCCAGGCAAGAAGGTGAGAACGACGTGTCATATCTTAGAAGGTGGACAACACTCCCTACCTAGAACTTATTTGCTATCGTCTTGTTTGTTGCCCTCTTGTGATATACTTCTTTCAAATACATAAATTGAAAAGTTATTTAAAGTTCCTTAAAAATAAACATAGCGGCCTGGCGGACCAGGGGCACGTACCCCTCTTCGCTCCCACCCACGATCAATGCCCCTACTTGGTTCTATCTGTCTTCTCAATTAAGGACGATAAACCGTAAGTCCGGTCTCTGGCATCTTCTCTGTACTGGTTAGCAGGGAACATTAAAGAACCAACGCAGTTCTCGCAAAGAGTAGGGAACGTAGTTCCCGGTGTTGTGGTCAGGATTTGTTTCCAAAATTGGGGTACTTGGTAAATTCCCCCGTTGAAGCGTTGTAATGCGAATCAGAGCATAGTAGTATGGTTAATTTCGTAAAAATGCCACATCAACTTTTTTCTTTCAGACTACTCTGTATGTTTAGATATTCAACCATGAAATATCGACAGTCGTTGGGATAAATTTTTCTTTGTATAATTTTGATTTCATATTCTGATGTTGTAGATCGTACGACGAGAACCCAGAAGAGACAATTAAACAGTGTCACATTCTACTTGAGGAGCCGGATCTAGAAACAGCTGTGCGTGTAGGAGACGTATATGGGATTATTATAGAACACTACGCAAGACAGCAGAACTTTACCAAGGTAAGGACCACTTTGAAGAGCGTTTTTGAAAGGTGAGGTGCATTTTCGGTGATTGTTTTCACCGGACAGGCGTGGACAAAAAGTTTGTTTTCAAACGAAACTGATGTGTGGACAGTACTTGTATGTACATCATTCACGTTTCATCTCTTGTAGCGCTCCAAGCTGCGTCCCTTTTGGTCGCTATAGCGTGCAGCAAAACATTTTAGTGACTGCATTTTGCAGCAAATTTGGCGACCTGTGTTTGACAGTCGTGAGGCAAGCTGAAAAGTAATGTCATATAGTCAACAGTCACACAGAAAGAAACATTTGCTTAAAATATTATTTAGAGCGCTTTCGTTTTATTTGGTAAACATCTGGTTCCTTTCCCTTGTTCGTCCGAGTATCAAGCTTTGTGAGATATCTCTTGAAACTCCGTAAACAATTTCTAGCTTTTTTGTGGAATTAGGTTTTCTATATGATGAGCAAATTTTGTTTTTAGGTTGCCTAGTGGCGAGAAAAAAAGTCGAGCTTGGAGCCCTGTTTGTTTTTCTTAGTTATGTTTGTTTTGTTTTATTTACCTCAACCCTATTGCCACCCTCTTTCTTCGTAGGCTTTCTCTGTGATGGAGGAGATGAGACGCCGTGTTCCCAACGTAAACATGGCTTACTACGTAAACATGAAGACGATAGAAGCGACCCACAAGGCAGTTGGAGCTCCTTTGATGCGGGGAATGGGCGCAGAGCGAGACATCCGCGGGGAACTGGACGAAGACGAAGGGGAGGAAGTGGAAGAAGAAGTAGAAGAGGATATAATGAATGGGCATGATGATTACTAGAATGCAGGCTGGAACAAGATAGGGTCTGGAATGAGCTTAAAAGTAACCGTGGTTTTTACCGTCCGACTTGCATGTTTTGAAACGAGGAACGACGACGTTTTTTGAAGTATGAGGTAGCCGGCTGGGAAGGCGCCGAGATACGACAATGTTGATGGAAAAGAGGGTCTGAAGTTAGGAGGAACAAGACGGATTAATAGATACTTTAAAGAGTGGCTGCGGGAAGTTATTCTGACACGGACAACCCGATCCTAATCCGAATTACCTACGTTGCGTAAGAATTAACGCCGGAGAAAAGATATCACTGCAAGCCTTTGAAGTCGTGGTGAAGAAGGAAGCTTGAACACGAGAAGGTGCTCATTGTTGACTGATGCTGTGTTGTCAAAAAAAAAGATGCGGTTGGAAATCAAAGGAGCAAAGAGGTAGCTAAGAACAAAAGCCAACTGTACTGGAATCAGTCTTCAGTTCACTGATTTAAGGAGAAAGCACTCAACGAGGACAATTTTTCATGTAGATATTTAGAACGAGAGTTGTACATAATTGTAACTTAAACAGACAAGGAAGCTAAGTTAGAAACCCTGTTGTGTAAAATGAATTAAAATGTCCTTGTTACTTGTGTTATAGTCAGTTATCTAGATAGTCGGGCTATGAAAGATTTCATGCGTTTGCGCGTAACTTGTTAGATCAAAAGAGAATTAGCTCTTAGCATCTCTTGATTATGTTAGGTACCATGTTGTTTTCGTTTTCTTCAGCTTTATTTTAAGACCGATTAAGTGACGCAGAATGCTGTTATGTTTTTTTTGGGGGGCCATTGAATATATTTAGCAAATGTCGCTTGTCTACTAAATATTTCCAAAGCTTTGCGAATTTTGACCATAGATTCCCGTCAAGTTGACCGAACGAAGGACAAGGTCTTAAAGGCTCCATCGAAAACACATTTTACGTCTGATTTTCCGGAGTCTCAACACGAGAACCTGGTAAAGCAGCATGAAATAGTTTGTTTCCTGTTTTGCTACTTTTACCTCTTACTCTGGCCACCCGTTTTAACGCCGGTCTGTTCTCTAACCACGTGATCAAAAGAACGACGCAGGTACCTTATCAGTTCTTTCCAACGGAAGCCGGCGTGACCAGACGTGCGTGCGCATTTAATTTATTGAGCAAAGGCATACGTGTACTTTCTTTTAGTCGTCGGAAAGGAACCGACCCTGTTTCTTTTGATTACAAGAAATGTTGGACAACATGAGTACCTTCTATTCGTTTATTTTCTTAATGAAAAATAATATTTAATATGGTATGAGGGAGGAATGCGTTGACAATTGATTGAAAATACTAATAATTAAAATAAACCTATCTCAGTGCTTGGCCGCCGATTTGATTCACATGCGTTTCGTCTCATTTCTTGACAGGAGTTATTTATTCATAAACCACAAATGATCCTGTAAATATGTAAGAATAAAGAATATTACTACTTCAAACCTTTTTCTTGCGGTTTTCAGCGGAATTAAGCCCACTAATTTTTTATGTCTCAAGTTATGGCTTTCAAACGTTTTGTCTTTTGTTTCCACAAATACGCAAATGTATTAGTCGTCATTTCAGAGTTAGAGCACGAGCAGTCAAAAAGGAGACAAAGAAAAGAATGATGTCAGTGCAGAGTTACGCGCGGCGCGCAAACGTCAACATCCTTTTTTCACAAACTTTTTGTTAACTTGCGCGAAGGACGTTCCCGAGAAGCAAGGTCTGCACGTAGTCTAAATCAGCAAAATTTTATTCTGACTTCAGGCTAATGGGGAAATAAAAGGCTCGGAAACAAACAAACGACTCTTCTATTAGATTTTATTTAATCTTTAAACTTGCTGGAACACTGACCGACAAGGAAGTCATCCTTACAATATCGAAACAATGTTTTTCAAGCAGAAAGGTTGCACGAAGAAGGAGCAATATTAACTAAGGGGATTTGGTCAAATTTAACTATTTGGTTGCATTGACACCAAATTATCAGAGCTTTATTCTTAAAGGGTATGTATAATGGACAGTGAGGACAATTGATCTTTAAATCCTGAGAGTGAAACAATTTGTAAAAAAGCTTGGTCAATTTGGAGTAACCAAGTCCCTAGGCTCTCTCTTCGTCCCGTCTCCTAGACGAAAGAAGATGAGAGAGAGCCTTGAAACGACATTCAATTCAGAATAATAGCCATCAAATCAATAACAGTCCAGAAGATTTTCCTCGTGATGTCCGGCTGCTGAGAGAACGTCCTCTAGTAAAGAAACCGGATCAGATCTAAGCGCGTTGTCAGCGGCTTCACACGACAGAGCCACTGCTGCTAGATCAGTCCCAAGTAAAACGTTTTTGAACCTCTCCAAACTAAACCCTTTCCCTAGAGCTTCCTGAAAATCCCACGATGTCTTGATCCATTGTTCGACGATGGGGTAATCTGGATTTGCAATTTGTTGTAAAATAGCAAACAATTCGAGAGACTTCTCGCAAACCATGTGGTCGCAATCACTTAGTGCTTCGCTTAAAATCTTTAATGCTCCCATTTCGAAAAGAACTCGTAGACATTTATCTACGTCTTGTTTGTTCAAACGTTCGCCATTACACGTTTTGCGAGTATTTATGCTTTCCTCCTTGGGTTTTAAACCAGTGATGTCACAGATAACTGCTTCCCATAATTCAAATCCACGTAATTTAACTTCCCAGTCAAAATCCTGACAAGCGTGGCAGATTCTTCGTGCTATTATTTCATACCAAGATGTTTCCGTAGCTACCGATTGGTTTTCAACCTGTACCGACTGGTTTCCGATCTCTACCGATTGTTTCCCGACCTGTAAGTCCTGAAAATCGTCAGATGTTAGAATTCCCTCGGACGGTGATTGGTCTTTTACTTCCTTACTAGACCGAATAATTCGAAAAGCAATGGGATGACGTTGTGTTATCCACAAAGTTAAGCATTCCAGGACTCTACGACGCGGGAAGGCCTCTTCGTCTTCTACCAGAACCGTGGAGAGCTTCTCTAGGATGAGTTCCTGTTGTGAACGGAAAGAACGAAAACATTTTGAAATGAGATCAAGTGTGAAGCACCAAAGGGACCAGTCATCATTTTGGAAGAGGGGTGGGGGAGAGGTCGGAGGATTTCCAGGGGATCACGTGGTTCTCAGGGGTTACGGATGGGGGATCAGTCGTCGCTAACAGAGTTTAAAGGAGAGGACTACAAAAAATTGACCCTTAATAGGGGCGGCAGTCATCAAAATACTACAGAGCCTT